ATGAAATTTCAAAAAAATTAAATTTTTAAGGCAGGGATTTTTTTTTTTTTTAATTTTTTTAGTTAAAAGCAGAACTCCTTGAAGAAAGAAAATCATCAATTTTTTTTGTAAAATAAAAAATGCAATAAAACTATGACATTATTTAATTACAAAATGTTTTAATTGGTTTGATAAATAAGATTTATTAAGGACACTATAGATAATTTTTTTGGTGAATATTTAATTTTTACAGGAATTGTTTTCATTTTTATTGTTTTAAATTTTAACTAAACAATTTACAATATTAAAAATTGTTTAAAATTCTTCATTGCTTTCAAGAGGGCGGTTTGGTGATATTGTTAAGTGAAAATTAATTTTATGAATCAAAAATTGAAAAGCTCATAACAGTTGTTTGAGCCAATATACTTTTTTTTAAAAGAATTTAAAAAAATAATTTTTAGTGTATAGAGCATTCCTAATTTCTACTTATCAGAAGCTATACATGATGTAATCCTTAAAAAAGTCACAGGACTTGTCATCTGACACATTCGTTATTCAGTTCTATTTCATCATTAACGTCTTTACAAATAATCCCTTCAAAATTTCAAGGTAAGTTTTAAATTTAAAGTACTATGAAAATTTAATAATAAAATAGCCATCATGATAACAATTAATAATAAATAAAATACTGTAACATTTCAAGTTTTTACTTATATCATGGTATTTTATGTCGATTATTAAATTTAAAAATTAATCTAAGAAAATTTTAAATTATTTTAAATTTTATTATTTTTTCGTAAAGCATCTTCAAACGTAACTAAAAGTCAATAAAATATTAGATGATTGCTGAAAATATTATGTTAATTTGTAAAAATTACTAGGGAGTTAAAAATCAAAAAAATGTGTTCACTTAGATTTCATAAATTTGTCAATTTTGGTCATCCAGACTCAATACCTCGTAAGTTATCGGTGATGTATAACATCAATAAAGACATGATCAAAAGAAGACCCATTGTTAAGAAATGCTTGTATACTATATTTTTTTATGCTATAAGTAATATTTTTTTCAAATCAGATTAATTTAACTTTAAATTTGCTAATTTTACTCAAATAATGTGTCACAAGTATATATTTTATTTTTGGAAGATTTTTAAAATCGATACTTTTGTTTACAAATTTCTTAAAATAAAGAAAATGGCCACTTTTAAGAAAATTTTCTTAAATTGGCCGAAGAGTTGAGATTCCATTCTATATAATTTTTATTTAAAATACACCAGAATATTTTAATTACTGGAAATAGTAAATTTAATCATTTAGCTTTCAATTAAAGCTAAAATTAAATCTTCAAGAATGCTTTTTCATTTTAAAAAATTAATTTTAAACTTTTGGTATTGAAAATTCAGTCAAATGTTTTCTGGAAATCTTTGAAATAATTGAATAGGTCCCTCTCGTTTTTCAGAGGTTTCTTTATGAGGACCCTACAGTTGAACATTTGTTCCATTCTGCTCCATACGGTTCTAAAACCTTCATGCTATTCAGACAGTAGCTCCTCAGTCTTGGATTTAAGATGGTTGAGGACAGTATGGAGCATAACCTTGCTGGGGTTGATGATTAGGCTTCTATAATCTGGTGTTACTTGAGATTACCCTTCTTGCACAATATTATGTGATAAAAATTGACAAAAAACAAGATAATCAACATTACACAGGACGAATCTTCTTCACTAAAGTGGATTTGATGAAAAATAATTTACCTTTATGATAAATCTTGTGAATTTTTTTTCTTTAAAAGAAAACAATAAGAAATATATCCACAGGAATTTTACATATTATCAATCTGTGTTGGCAGACAAGCTTTTCTTCATTTGTATTATTCAGTTGTAATAAGTAAGCGAAATAATCTGGTCCTTAGAAAGGTTATTACTTTTTCTTTTTTTAATCAATATATATTTGTCTGTTGTGTTTATTTTGCACTCATGCTCTTGGGAAAGGTATGAATGCATTAAATAACTGTGTAGATTAGGATCTTTAGCCTTGTGTGGTAACCAGTCCAGGAATTCAAAACCATGTAGATTGTTACAGGAAACAACTCCATTTTCTTTCCCAAGAATTCATGACAATTCTCAAATAATAAAGAAAAGGAATCTGGCAAACTATGATGGCCTACACCCTAAAGGAACATGGCATTGAGAAAAAAAAAAATTAACAATCTTTTTAATTATCTGATATTAACACTGAATGTAATTTTCATTGTTGGTCCTTCATACAGTGTTAATCAAATGATCTGCTCTTAAATTTACGCACATTTTTAACCTTTTGATTCAAAGTTGTTGATAGGTGTAAATGTATTATTCAATATATTTTCAGTAAAAGGTAAGTAATATTTTGTTAGTATATGGTTAAGTAATTGTTAAATGAACTAATTCTCAATGGATTTTCAATTTGACTGGATGGTTTAGTTTTTGCAGAATTTTAATTAAAGGCATAGACATGTCGGTTTAGTGCAATATTCATATTAATTTGAAATTTTAAAAAATTTGAATCAAAAATAGTGAAAATTCTTAAAGTATTCATTTTTTAAAAGGTTTTCTTTCATGTATAACCAAAAATAAAACATTAAAGAATATATTTTAATTATTGCAGTATGTTTTAAAAGTTTAATTAAAACACCATGGTTCCTCATACCTGTTAGTCAAATTTTGATTGACTAAAATATTTCTTGAAATCTTCAAATGAACTTGAGTACAAATATTTCATTGCTTTATTCTTTGGCATTTAATTTTTTTTGCTACCCTGCATATAAAAATATTACAAATAAATTTAAAGTTGATCCTGTTAAATTATTTACACTATATTCTGACTGTTGTCCTCATTTTTGTTGTTGTCATCACAACATTTTGGATGTTGTGCCCTCTGGCCTTCCTCAGGTGTATATCAATCTGGGGAAAATATGACCAAGAATTGCATGTACATGATTTCTTGCAGTTGTGGCAGAGAATAAAAAGTGAAACAAGTCGCCTCCTAAAAGTAAAACTAGAAGAACATTAAAAAGCCATAGTAAGAGGCGAGACAATGAAATCAGGCATGGCTGATCATGTATGGAGTGAAAGGAAGAACACTGGAGAGTTAAAAGTTTGAAAGAATCAGTGCATATGCTAGGCTATGAGGATCTCCTTAGTAGGCCTAGCATAGAAATAAATACAATGGGAGCAGCTAATAAAGAAAGACAAATGACAGCAAGTCTTCAACTGCAGTATCAGCAATCAGGTTAAGTATAAGGCTCTTTGTTTTTGTATGAGGCAATGACCTAGCAAGCAAAAGCATTGATTTTTGTGACATAGTGTTTGTGAGGTCAATTTCTGGGTGGAAACAGGCAAGCAATAACTGAACAATACTAAATAAAATATGAACTAGATGATATTCTTAGACAGGAGCAGTGGAATGAGAACTGTCAACCCCCAGAGATTAAATAAAGGGTTCAGTTCAGAATTCTCTGTAGATTACTCAGATTGATATACACCCGAGGAAGGCTAGAGGGTACAATGTCTGAAATGTTGTGATAACAACAACAAAGATAAAGACAATAGTCTGAAAGTAAATAGTGTAAATAATAACTTCTTGTCCAAGAAATTCAGACAAAGATCCTGTTAAATGTTAAGTTTAGCATTTCAAACAATATCTGTATACCAGACACTGAATTGAATTATTTTTATTTTTAAAAAGTCAAGCATTAAAAAAAAAAAAAAAAAAACTTCCAAAATACAATATAATTTATTTAAACTTTTTTATCAGTAACAACAGAAGTATAATCTCCATGAAGAAAATGTATGGATATATTTCAATATGATAAGGATGGTATTTTTGGCAAATAACTTCATAAAAAAAATGTCCTTGCTTTAACTACTGGGAACATTTTCCCTCCACATACATTCCTTCATATAAAATAGGAATAATCCTTCACTTTGTTTTTGTATCTTCATGCTATTTTTTGTTTTATTTTGTGTTTCTGTCCCAAACAATCTGAATGACCTGCTAAGGCTAATTCCAAATATGTAAGGGAGATAAATCAGTTGCAAAAGTTAATGATACTCTATTATTTGTATTCATTCCTATTATTTCTTCCTAAGTTATTAATATAGAAAGAACTTGACATAGACATTTGTCCAAACTCCACCTAAAACATTATCAAAGGATGACTTTAAAATTATATTGATTTTTATTATATGTTTTCAAATTCTCTTTATTTTATATTTAAATTGTACAACTCCATGGGATTTGGTCTAAGTTTAAAAGTAACCAATCTAAAAATTAGTAAAATTATTCAAATTGCTTGTAAATTTGTAAAAATGTTATGGTCGTTATTTCAAAGGATAATAAAATTACTTTTATATACTAAATACATTTTATGTAAAACTTTTAACATCATTAATCGTCATTTTAATTCTATAAAAATACTGTATTTTTCATAAGAAATCAGTAAATTTTCCTAAAAATTTTACAAATCGCCAAGAGAAAGGCATCATTTTGGTAATTTCTTTTGGGAATATGAGAATCTTTATTTTGAAATAAAAATAATTGTAGTTTATAGTTTGATATATTATGATTGATTAAATGAGTTTTAATATTTTATGCAGTCCTTTATTGAATACTTTGATGAAACTGATCCATATTTTTTTTGTGAATTTTAGTTTGGTTTTGAAAGTGTGAAGTCGCCTAATGGTTATCAACTTGTAAAACAGAATCATCATACCAAGTTTGAATTCCAGTCAAGACATTTTCCATCACTTTTGCCTTAACACGTTTAGAAAAGGCAATGAATTGAAAATACCTTGTGCTCTTTCCTTTCACTAGTGATCTTGATCATGGTCTTGACATGGCCTCATCTCATGATAGACAGTTTGATGTCAGGTCAAGGAATCTTTCTGGTAGAGTTCAATTCTAACTCTACCAATTAACTCCTCTTTCCCCACTGAAAAGAAAACAGTAAATGAATGTCCATTTTGGATTTTATTATCCTTTCAGAAGTCACATGGAAGTCCTCCAATATGGCCGACCTAATGCAGGATTGGTGTCTCCAGAAGAAGCTCAGAAATACCAGGTTATTTTCTTTACTATCTGATATAGTTCTTTCTAGTCTGCAATTATTAAATACACAGAAAAACAGATCACTTATCTAAAATATTTCTATAAGTTAGACTTAATTTTGTATGCAATTTTCAAGTTTTTCCATTGTTAACACCATGTCAAAACACCAGCAAAAAGTTGAAATCTGCACTCATCAACACCGAATTACTTGAAATTTGGCACAAATGTTCCCCTTCATGAGTTAGGAAAGTGTGCCAAATTATTTTGTACTAGACATTACCATTCCAATTTTAGGGGGGGTGCATAATTTTCCTATTTTGCCTCTAAATTAAGGCTGCACAATGTTGCCGAATCTCGTTGTTTTTAAAAATTAATGGAAAATACTTCCATATCTTTAATATTTCTGAAATTTGGTATGTATGGGCAAATAAGAAGTGTAAAATCCAAATATTTAACTATTTTAAGCCTACACTTGATAGAGAACTTTATTTTACTCACCCAAATACATGACCCCAAATTCAACAACTTTTCACCTATGTAGGTTATGGTCAGTCTATAGAAAATATGTCCTCTTCAATTTTCATAATATTTTTTGACTAACATCTACAATGCCTGCACAAGTTCACCAAAAAATTTTGTGAGAGTTTTAAGTCTACTTTAGAAGATATGACCCTGCCAAATTTAGAGTTTTTTTTCTTACATTTGTGCAGGATTTCCGAGAAAGATTATAATTAAAGACAATCATCCTAATGCTCCATAACCTCTAAAATGTTGATATTGTGCTAAGTAACTTCTTAAACTATTCAATAAGATTGTTTTTATCAATTTAAAAAAAAATAATTTAAATATATTTTGCAGATATTACTTTTTGTACAGATAGATTGTCTTTAAAAAGCAGTAAACATTGCCACATGTATGATAATCAACAGTGCATAGAAAATTTGTAAATGGCACTTAACAAATGAAGTTAAAAGAAATTCTTTGTGTTTCTTTTAATTTTATTTTGGTAAATTTTCATGAAACAAAAAAAAACATTTGATTTTTTTTCATTCTCATAAGATAAATGTGAATCTTTAAAACATAATGTTTGAAGTTGGCACTAAACTTATTTATATAGTTGATGGAAATGCTTTCATTAATTTTTTTAAATTTTCATTTTTATTTTTTAAATATTTTTTTCAAAATTATTTTCATGAAACATAAATATTTGAATTTTGTTTCATTCAGAAGAAAATCATAATAAAAATGAATATACAAAGAGTCTTTAAAAGATTACATTTTAAACTACACTATGTACTAAATTTTGTTTTGCATATAGACTAAATTGTTTTGGATATAATTTTTTGCAAAGATAATTTATCCATCTTGGACAAATGATAAACTTTACCATTTGCTGTTGTAGGAATATCAACAGTGCACAGAATATTCATTGATAGTACAAAACATATATCCTTAAAATCTTCTTTCAAGTAAAATGAATGTGATGGAAGAGCTGGGTGCATGAACTTAATCAGCAAGTCCTTATTCTCCATATCAATTTCCAGGACCATGCCAATCCAAATTTTATTGTTGCACTTGTAACAAACATATCCTGAAACAAAAAAAAATTACTGGTTTTTCTTCAGCCCCAATAGAAAAGTCATATATTAGATCATAGTTTTCATCTTTGCTACATTGTTTCATAGCTATTTTATCTCTGGCGAGTGAAATAAATTGATGAAAACTTCTTGTTCTTGGGACAGTGGATGCATTTTCAAATCTCATGGTGAGACTCCTCCTCACTTCCTCAACTTCTTCCTTTTCAACCAGAATGAATTTGATACCTTCAATTGCAGATTTACAATATTCAAACATAGATTCTGTGGAAAGGATTTGTTTGGTAGTTGGTGTTTGGAGACTTTCTTTTGACACTATCCTTTTCACTGTCCCACCTATGCCATCACACGGTTGTTTACCATGTCTTGTTGCAAAGAAATTCCATTTTGCATTGAGCCCAAAATCTTTCTGATGGTTGCTCTAATTGGCAAAGTTTTTATAATTCTTGTATTGCACTGCACTACCATCAGTAAAATATTTTTTATGTTTGGCAAGGTAGCTTTAATTACCTCAATAATTTTTTCCATACCATATAAACAAATGCTACATCATGCGAGTTGTCACTTGACATAATGCAGAAACATTCACTTTGCATTGCATTTTCAAGCTTAAAGTAGAGTACCACTGGATGTAAAGTACATTGTGAAGTATTTCAATGATAACTCTGGATCTCATCTTGAACTATAAATTTGTAGTTCTTGGCAAAATATCTCCCAGGAACAAAATTTCACTATCACTAATCTCCTCTTTTCTTTGCTTTAAGTACCTTGATTGTGATTTAGCCAAGTAAGAATGAGGTGCTAATTTATTCAGTTGCAAAACAACTAAATCAATGTAAGCTTGACAGGATTCCATTTGTGCTGTCAAAGTTGATCGGTCAGTTGTTGTTCATTGGGAGAACTCTATTGATTCAGCATTATCAATATATCCTTCCATAGTGTCATAAAGAAATTTTTCAAGCTGCCCTGATGATTTAAGACAATTTGGGCACCTATGAATCATACACTCTCTGCTCCTGGTATTACAGACAATATATTTCCAGAGATCTTTATATGATACATTCAGTGGTTCCAGTAATAATTTCATATTTTGGTGGATAGTGCATACACATACAACATGCGTACCTGCACTACCAGCAAGGACACACTATTTTGGTCTTAGACTACAAAATTTTGAAAATCCCAAAGGTACTGTTGGGTTCTGTTCTTTGAATGATCTGAAGAGCTCATTTAGGTTGCACAAGATGAATCTTTTCTGCTGATGAATATTACGTTTAATGTGGTCTTTCCTGTCTGACATCAGTCAAGTATATTCATCATCTTGGCAAAATGCTTCCACTAACTGTGCAATATCAGCAGGCAAAGACTTGCCCCTTTTTGGTTCTGGCACAGCTAAAATACCTCTTTCCAAACACAATTTGCAAGTCTTGCATACAATGTGTTCTGAAACACCAAACACATCCATGAATCTTTTGTGTGACCAGTTGGTAGGGGCAAGTGTCAAGATCTGGATTTTGATTTTAGTTGATTCCACTGTCTTCACTTTTACTACAAGAAGCTCTATCATTTTATCAAAGCACTTAGCTTTATCTAAAATCTCCTTTTTGATTTTTAAAGCCTCATCATTCAACAGCTCATAGTCAACCTTTAATGACTTGGCTACTTTGGTCTTTACACATTGCATTGCAGAAATTTTTTTTTCTCTTACCTAAAGTAGCTTTTCCTGAGTAATGAAGCCCTTTTGTTTTCAGTGGAGAAATTCCAATAGCAGTGAAACATTCATTGATATTTCTCTTCTGTTTCTGCTGAAGTACTTGTATCAAGCTCTTTCATTTTCTTATCCAATACATGTCTTGGTTCTTCATCATTGGGAAGTAGTTTGTGGATTTGTATTCAACAATTACGGCAGAGTTTCTTGCCTGAGATTAATACCAACTTAGCCTTTGCCTTGTCTGCCATCTCCAATGAAATTGCAAACCACCTTTGATTTGCTTTTTATGATTTTTAAATGGATTACAACATCTCTTTTCAAGCCATTCATAGTTAGTCAAGAAGGTCTGCTTGTGATGGTAACAGATAATCTGTATTTTATCCTTGTCAAGTCCTGTTCTATAGGCAATAAGCTTTGCATCCAACTGATCAACTGAAATCAATCCAAGCTGTTTATCATTGAATGAACCATGACATGTTTCAACTGTTAGCTCAGTACAAATAGAACAATTCATCTTTAACTGAAATAAGAAACTACTGTACTTCAAATCCAGTGTGCAAGTAAAAAATCCAAGTAATTAGAAAAATACCACATTTCTTCTTGGATATTGGATGGTAAGTGACAGTTGTTTCAGGACTAGATAGACTGGTACTAGCTCTGGTCAAAGGAGGGTCATTCAAATTTTCCAATTTGACCTGATTTCATCTTTATCACATTTATGGCCTAGGTACCATAGATCTTAACTCTACCAAAATTGGTCAAAGACAGTTAAGGGACTAGATAAAAATGGAAAAACACTTTGATACAGTTTTAAGGAATTGTTTTAATCATAACCAGTTTTTTACACCGAAAAAATCATTTTTGTTCCAAAAATTGATTATTTAAATTTGTTAAAAAAAAAAAAAATTCTAAACAAAAATTATTAAGATCACAAATAGTAATGAAATCATTTCTTTCAACTTAATAAATATGTTTAAATATACTATGCTCTATTGATTACCCTACTAGAGGCCATGTTTAACAAAATTTAGTGCATAGTGTCGTTTAAATGTAATCTTTTAAAGACTTTTATATTCATTTTTATTATGACTTCTGATTAAAATAAAATCAAATATTTTTGTTTCATGAAAATAATTTTAAAAAAATATTTAAAAAATAAAAATTAAAAAAAATGAAAGCATTTCCTCCAACTATATAAGCTGAAATTTTAAAAAAATGGTTTTCATATACAAAAATAGATGTGGATGTTGGTGCAAGCAAAATATTGATGGAAAATTGCAAGAGGATACATGAATAATTTTCATAATGAATAGTTTATTTTATTTTTTTATTTTTATAAATGGTTCATATAAAATATTATTTTGAATGTTGTAACAATTTGGTTTGACTAATTTGTTAGGAAATGAAATTCACATTAGTTAACTTGACCTGTCACTAGATTTGTTTGGTTTCATTTGTCAAAGCACTTATGTAGCATTGACAGTAACAGGATGGCTCATTGAAATAAGTGTGTTTCTGCATATTTAAATAAACACATATTACATAAATGAACTGATTACATTTTAGTCATGTTTTCAAAAGATTTTGAAACAGAATCAATGTAATGGGTTTGTAGTTAAGTCACGATTGAAATCACATTTATAACTAATTTATTTGAAATTAGCTATTGTGAAATAATTCCATTTCAGTGTAAGAGAATAGTTGTTTAAGCCTTCATGGATCATAAAATCTATAATGCTGTCTGCAATGCCAGATATGTGAGGCTTGTAGATGCATCTAGAAAAGCATTTGGCAACATAAAAATTGTGTTATCTGTGATATTCCTCTTGAAAAAATGTTTACTGCAAAATGTGTGAATGAGTATTCAGAGGTTGGAATGGCTACAATGCTTCAAAATGATCAAAAGTTTAGTATTATTTGGAAAGGTGTTTTTTAAGAATCATCCCAAAAGATTATCTCTGAGTTAATCTTACTGATGATCCATTTAAAAGATTATAATCAGATTAGTATAAGCACTTTTTTGATTCTTTATTTTCAGATGGTGCATATTGGTCTTGGGGTGTATATCCATTCAGATCAGTATTTTGAAGTGATTCGCAAGAAGAACGATGGTCAAGCCATGGTCCGAATTTTAATGAACTTTTTTTTTAGTAAAGATCAGATGAAAGGAGGTACATTGTCTGAGCGAGGATGTGGCAGAATGCTTGATCCTTTACTCACTAAAGCCATTGTCAGTAAGTGAAGAAAAAAAAAAAAAATAATAAATTCTCTTGTTTTTCTCTTTTTACTATTTCATAAGCTGTTCCGATATCAACAGAGAAGACTTGAATTTTGAATTTTCTAATCAGTATTCAGAACATCTCAGTATATTTATTGTATACATTTATGATTTTCTAAAATTCTTTACAGAACTGAGAAAATGAGGTAATAACTTTTGAAAAAGCAAGAAAAACTGGACTAACTTTGCCACAAGACTATTCCATTTTAATTTGTAGGAGACCAATTAGGATGAACATTTAGTTAAATAAATAATAATCAGATTTACATAAACTGTGAATCCTGTGTTCAAATAGCAGTAGAGGGAAAGATATTGACCAACAAAAACCTCTGACCAAAGTTGTCAAGCATAACATTATCAAATATAGAACTTTCAGACTAAAGTTTGTTGCAACTCTACTTAAAAAGGTAAACATAATAAATACAATACTTAAGAACCACAAAGCAAAATGATAAAAGATTTCAACAAAAGTTTTACACAAGTAATAATCACTGTTTCATTAGGAACAGACAACGAATTAACATTACTATACAAAGACATAAAAAGTACAAGAATTGTTATCATGGATACAGATACTTACAATGAAAAAATAAAGACTTAATGCTACAAATTTCTATTGAAAAAATTAAACATAAAATAATTTCTGAGACTAAAATTTAACAAATCAATTAGAAAGTTAATTAATGAGAACAAAACCCTGTCACGATTGAATATCACCCTAAAATACACAAGTTTATGATTTTAATCAAAAACGGAGCTGGCATTCCTATCATATCTGGCATTGGCAGTGTTCCCCATACAATAGCAAAAATTTGAAACTCACTTCTTGGAGCATTTAGTCTTTCACATTTCAAATTCTGGTGGTCTTTTAAACAGATTAAAACATGATACAAGATATTGATGGCTAGTATAGATATGAAATCGTTAATTTACCATCTAAATTTTGCTTAAATCTAAAGAAATTTTTAATAAAATCAAAATTAACCTCACCAAACTGAGAGACAAAAATATGCTTTTCTGCCTAATTACAAACCAGTATTATTTTTTTATAACTTTTATCGGCAAAAGCTTGAACTCTCAATTGCCTCTTGGTCGTGTATTAGCATATCTTTGCTTGGAATTTCTAAAAATTGTTCCTTTCCAAAACATTTTACCTAAAAAACCAATATAGACTCATATTACTAACTACCAACTCCATAATGACTATAATTCCAAAGAATTTATTCAATGTTAGTATAAATTTTGTTACAACTACTTCAAATTCAATGAAAGATTTAATCAACAAAAGCTAAAATAACCTGAAAAAATGTCATATGAAATACATATGTGAGGTATTTAAACATTTAAATAAAAGATTGTGAACATAACAGGGATCTTTTACAAAACAGTATATTCAATGCATTCATCGTTAATTATTATAGATCTGATTCTTATTTCAACTTAAAGAATGTTAATGGTAATATTAACCATTTCCTTATAAGGAAAAATTTGGCATTCATTGATCAAGCAGCCAGTGGTTGAAATTTATAAAATCCTTCTATGAAAACAATATTTTAGGAAAATAGTTTTTTCAAGTCTGGTAATTGTTTCCAGTATTTATTGCGGGGGTAGACTTCCTTCCTTGTCTTTTGTTTGAAGTAAAATCTTGATTATGTCACTATTTTCTGTTGAGGTAGATGTGCTATCCATTTTGGTTGTTGCTGCTGTTGAAAGTCCACATGTGATGTGGTTTCTGTTAACTGGTACATTTCTTTGTGATTTCTTGTGCCAGTCCACAAGGTTTTAAGAGGGATGATCTTTGCCAAGACTGACAAGCCTCATTTGCTTGAAGCCACCTTTTAATCATCAATCTAAGATATGAAAGTCTCAATCTGACGAGACTATTTTAAAACATGACTTGTTCTATTTCTTTATCTTTTATACTAAATTTGTTATAACTATCTATATACTGAGGTATTTGAAGTGTTTAGTATTTACTAATTTCATATCCTGAATTTTTTATGATGGATTCAGTGTATATGCCATCATTGCTTTCATTGCAATTCCATTTTTTTTTTCTTTTGCTCAAGTTCATTTTTATCTCAATTCTGAATACTCATATTATCGGAACAGCCTCCCTCATCATTTGTACTTTGGTCTCGAGATTGAAAAGTAAGATTGTTTTCTATTAGTTGATTCATTTGGGATGTGGTACGGGATGCTTGAATGATCAGTGCCCATCTCTTTATATCTGCTTGTATATGTACAAAGTATAGTGTAGAAAAAGATTAGACTGGGGTTCTCATTTCCACCTTGTCATACTCCTGATGAGGTTTGAAATGCTTCAATATTGGAATCTTCAGATATGTATGACTTTGTGGACTGATATAATTCCTTTATCGCATCTAGACATTCAGTGGCACTATGTTCTGAGGAGTTTTCATAGAATGCGGAGAGCTTAGTTAATATAATGTTTGTCAGTACATTTTGCCATAATAGATCTAATTTCTATTTTTTTTTGTTTCCATAGTGCATTAAGGCATAATACACATACTGTTTAGATATTGTCTTGTGTACTTCATTAGCTGAAGCAGATATATTCACATTATTTAATTCCACTATGATTTTTTTTTTTTTTTTTTTTCAAGATTTAGGGGCATTGCACCAGCATGGACTTTAGTTTATCACAGAATGCTCCTCTTGCATTTTTATTTTTATGGGCTTGGATAGTATACCTATGTGTCTTTTGTGGTTTATATGAGTGGAAGGGAGCTGTTTTGTTGGATGGTGTTGTCAGTTACAAATAATCTGTGATCGGATGCAAAGTAGAAGCAGTACATTCTTACATTTGTCACAAATTACCTAAGCCAAAAGTTCAATGTACTGAAGCCAATCTTTTTGATTATTTTATCTGGGCTATTTCATCGGGATGGTCAAACCATGCGTTTAGGATGGAATATCTTTTTGACTACCAAAATTAACAAGAGTTCCCCATTACTGTTTCAAAGAGTGACCATCTTATCTAAGTAACAGTGACCTTAAAAAATACTTGAGGTAACACAAGTTATTAAGCTGAAAATATGTTGAAAGTACACTAATTTCATAATCCTTTACAGGAAATTTACATCCAAGATCATGCAACATATCTCCTGTTGTTTTCTGTTATATTGATTGAAGTTTTTTTTATGTAAACTTCTTTTGCAACTGTAGATTCTATTGATTGAATAAATGGTGATAGAATAGCTGACTGATCTGATTGTTTTTACAAATAACCTTAAAACATAACAATTGATTGACTTAACACTAGAATCTTTTCTTTTCTGCATATTGAATATTTTTGTCATTGATGTTTTCTCCTTTGATAAATTTAATTTTCAAAATGAAACATTTTTATGCTTTTCTTTTTAATCCTACCATTTCCTCAATTCTTTGTTTTTTCTATTTCAGTGTGGGTCCAAAAGACCCAAGAGAGTAACTGTTCCCCAGTGACGTTACGACAGGCAATGTATAGGAAACTTTCCTATCACAAATGGAGAGCTAAGAAAGAGGTAAAGTTATGTGAAATCAGCCAAACCAAAATCAAACCAGATTTAGATTAAAGACAGTTTTTGTAGATTAAAATGATGTGTTTATTAAAAGTTACTCTATTTTCAAGCAAATAGTTTAGTGTCTATGTAAAAAAAAATATTATCTTTTGTTAGGGTTATATTTAAAAGATGTTTTTTTTTATTTATTTATTTATTTTTTTATTTAAAAAAATTAAGATCATCATTATTTGAGACTTGTTACTATTTAAGCTTTCCTGTTGTTTCCATGGGAAAAAACTATTATTAAAAAAATAAATTATTGGTTTTAAATAATATAATTTTGTGAAAATTAAAGCTGTGTCACTGAAGTTAATGTAGAAAATATTTTCAGGTGAAAATATGCAGTTATTTTTTTATTTAATCAAAAATTACTTTTTCATTGTTCAAATGATTTCTAATAAGATTTTTAGTATGTAAATTTGTCCAATCAACTAATCTTATTTTATTTTAAGCCTGATTGAGAGCCCCAGACATTGATTTATGATCCTTGCTATCTTAGTTTAATTTGCAACATGTATAAAGGTAGATAGAAAAATGCAAATTTAGATAAGCACAAATGAAAAATTTTTGTGGATTTTGATGTCATTCTGGGTTTTTTTTTTTTTTTCATCCAAATCTGAATTTGTTTTGCCCATGCTAAGTTTCAAAAAAACACTTTATAAAATTAACTATTTTTTAAATACAATTTTGAATGTGTTAAAATTCAATTTTTTTTAGCAAGAAAAATCTCTAGTTGATGCTAAAAATTGCTATGAAACATTGTTGATTGATTTAAGATGAAATGATCTATTATGACATGTCTCTAATTTGTATTTAGATACATTGTATTTATTTTCAATTTTCGTAGTTCAATTGTTCACCTATATAGCATATAATTCATTATTTTACATAATTAAGTTACAATAAAATTCGTATTTTATATGAATACTACATTATAAAAATTGACATGTAATAGAGTTGGGCATCTCATGTCAGATTTGGCGGGGGCCCACAAGACCTGTACACCAGCCCTGAGTTGAGGTACCAGTACTTGTATCTGGCCTAACTCCATAATATTGGAATATTAAGTGTAAATAGGGGAAGTTAATATGTGAAGTTAAATTAGCTGGAAGACTAATATTTACCTAGATACCATGGACTACCAATACTTGTATCTAGCCTATCATTTTTTTTGTGCTGTGTCTCTTTACGACGTGTGTGATCATGACTTGCTTGAATTTCCTGTCTTTTATTGTTCTAAATACCTTCAACACTTTATTGTTCCTTTTTGTCCATGTCTAGACATCCATTCAAACAAATTCATTAAGTAGGTTACTCACTGTTTCTTCCTGCTTCTGTTATTGCCTTGTGAGTCTTAGATTTTCCAGGCCCTCTTTCCTCATTATGCATCCTAGACATTTCAATTGTCAAATATAAGATTCTTTGTAATTCCTATTTTCTTTTAAAACTTCCTCATTGCATACATGTTTTATCTATAGTATTGTTAGCATTTGTCAGTAGAGCCACCTCTGTCATTTTGAATCTCTTTATCTGAAGAGTTTGACCAGCATTCAGTTATATTCAATATTAGATATTACCTTTCAGTTCAACACTCTCTTTTCTTTGTATCTAAAAAATTTTTCTATCTCTTAATAATTTGCTTAGTTTCTGGAAAGCATCTTTTGTTTTTTCTATTCACCTTTAGATTTCTGTCACATTTTCTGTCCTCTGTTACTGCACTATCCAGATTATTTCTGTACCAGTTTGATTTTTGACAAGCCCAATACTTAGCTAACATCCTGGGTTACTTATTTTGCTGACAGTCATGCATTCTGTCTTCTTAAAATTAATAGTCCTTTCTTCTTGCTTTCCTTTACTACTTTGTGTAGGAGCTTTTTCAATTTTCCTTGAGTCTACCATTGACACTATCATTTGAATATCTGATGTTGCCAAGTGTATGTTAACCAATAATAAATCTGATCATCTTGCTGTAAAGGCTAAATAAATGCAATGAGAACATGAATACTTGTCTTACTCCACTTACTATTTTTGTGTATTCACTGAACTTGCTCTCTCTCTCTCTCTCTCTGCCTGCAGGTGATTTGTTCTGAGTAGAGATGATGGATTATTCAAATATCTATTTCAAATAGGTCTTTGTTGGATATTATAAAAAATGTAAAGTGGGTAGGACATCCTTCTAGGTCATCAAATATGAGAGTTTTATTTGTTAAGGCAGCAATAAAACCAAATATAAAAAGTTTGTGTTGTTTTCTCCTCTACTCATACGTGTTTCTATTTTTTTTTATACAGCATGTGCTTCACTCTTTTTCCTTGAAGAACAATCCCATCAGTACAGCCACAGTAAAAGAAGAGACTGATGAAGACAACTTTGTGGATCCACCATCAGTTTCTGCAGCAACTTCACAAAATGCTGTATCTGTGGCAGCACTGAACAATTTCAATGGCCCTGCTCCGCCATTAACTAGCAGCCCAGTGACAACCAACCTGCAGACTGTATCAGAGAATACAAACCAAACAGAGATGAGTTTGCCCAGCTTCTCAACACTGAAACATCAACTCCAGCAGCACCAACAACAAACTCTAAACAGAATTACACTACATCAACAGCAGCTTCAGCAGCAGCATGCACAAGCAGGTTCTACACTCCTTCCTTTTGATATCCTTCCGCAGAACTGTGATGGTGCTTCCACTATGATTACTGGTCTCAATGCTGGTACTGATAGTGTCCTTACCCCACTGGAACTGATTGCTAAAGAGCGTGGAGGGATTACTGTTAATATGGAGTGTCTCAATACTCTGTTATCTTTTGTCTGCTGTCCTACATGTCATTCGCCAGTAAATCACAAAGAGACAATTCAGGGATTTAAAACTGGTATTCTGTATTCCTTACAACTTTTCTGTGTCAATGGACATAAGATTCAGAGCATGATGTGATTGTAAATGGCACCCCTCCCCACTCCCTTATATATTCTATTTTTGGATGTCCTGTCTTAGAAAAAAAAAGTGTCTGTTGTCAGTGATATTTCACACATGGCTTGGACACATTGACAGATTCTTCAAGACTAATTTTCTGTGTAGATTGATGTAAAATATTTTGTGATTGCAGACTTTAGTCCTGAAGGTATTCCCCCCACCTTTTTTTGTATTCAGAAGAAAAACTGATTGATACAACTGTTTGAAAGCATATGCATTCCTTTTTATTTATTTCCCTCTTTCATTTTCTGTAACAAAATTATTTATTTGACTATAAAATGATAAAAAAAACAGACCCTGTCAAGAAGATAAAAGATATTAAGGCCATTTTTATTACTGTTTTTATTTTTTTAAATAACTTAACTTTATTATTACCTTGGCTGCCATTTTATTTTCACATTTTCAGTCTTGGTTTCATTCAGATTTAATGATTACAAACAATGCTTATTATCATTTTCTATTAAAATTTCAAGACTAAAATGTTAATAAAATGAAAAAATTTCAATATTTGTTGATATGAAATTATATAAGTAAGGAGATTACTTAAACTCTATATATCAATAACTGATTAATGAAAAAAAAAGGGTTTAATTTACTCTTTTCACTTATTTAGACTTAAACTGAACTCTGAAGAATTTAACACTTAAAAACAAAACATTTTCTACTAAGTTGACCTGTATAAGATTAAAAGACATAGTATTATAATGAAAACTTCCTTTACCAGCCATGATTTATAAATTGGAATATTGAGCTAACAACTTGTCAGCCATGACTATGTTGTTCCTATTACTTTCACTTATTATTTTTATCTTTTTCTACAAAAGATGTTAGAAATATGGCCGTATTGTCATTCATTTCATTATTAATCTATAAAAATGACTAAAAAGAAAAAAAATTAAATCCTTTTGATTTACAACGAAGTAAGGCTTTGAACAAAAGTTTGGAGAATTTACTATATTAGTGAATTTATTGTTATTGGTTAATGCATTTACTGCCACATAAGAGATGTGTTTTGGGGCAAGTCGCATATTATCTTTAACATATAATTTGGAGGAACAAAACCATTGCCAATACGCACATTACTGTCATTCTATAGGCTTTAATAAATTTAATTTTATTTGCTAAAGTAAAGCATAAGTCCTTTCATATAGCAATTTCTAATGGTAGCAAAAATGTTAGTGTCCAGCTGTTCAAGGTAGCAGTGACTAAGTTAGAATCTAGACACAGATGTGGAACATTTTTTAACAATTTGCATAGCGTGATATATGTTTTTGTAACATTTCTGATAATCTAACATAAATAAATAATTATCTATTGACACAATACATCTTTCATTTATTTTTGTTTTATTTACATTTGAAAAATATTTTTCCTTTGTCTGTTATGGCTTCAAATGTAATTATTTTAATTTTAAAAGTTTGAGATTTTTTAACTGAAATAGAATTGACTTTATGTTGGAAATATTTAGATTGATTTTTTTTTTTTTAATCATTCCTGGCACCAGGAATTTAAAGCTTTTTCTATGGACTCTTTTCTTTTCACCATTTGCTATCTAGTCATATTTGAAATTTCTCCTTCCACAATAATGGCATCAGATTTTCTCGCTAACAGTTTATTGCAATTTCTTTATACAGTTATTTCTATTTCTGAACATTTTCAGTAACAGTATGCAAAAAGATTTTGTTTAGAGAAATTAATACAAAATAAAACCATATAATAGAAATTCTTTTTGAGACAAACAAATTATTAGCATTAAGAACAGGATAATGTCAAGGTAACTTTATTGGTAATTATTCATAAATAATATCAAAGAGTTAAGATTGGAGTGAATCAAATATTTGTTCAAACACTGAAGAATTTATAAATTTTTAAAGTTCAATAAAGCAAATATTTGTTACTTCTTTTGACTGAGCATTTTTCAATTCTGTTACTCTCCTTGTTGCATCACTTTTGCTCTTTTTGAATTTATCTTCTTTGTTGGATCAGTCTTCCTTCTTCTCCTCCTTCCTAATTACTATTTGTGGTTGCATCACTCCTACTCTTTCCAAAGTTCTTTCTAACCTGTTACTCTTCACTGCAGGATTAAAAAAGCCTTCATAATAAACAACATTTATCAATATGAAAAACTTTACATGTAATATCATAAATTCTTGTTGTGGCTAGGTTTCTTGTAGAAAACTAAATTACCTTTTGTCTAAATAAATTGCTTTATTTAATGCAAAAGAATATATTTATTTTTTTTATTACTAGCAGCATTCACAGTTCATACAGGTCCTAGAAACCTTATGTGGCCTTTTCCAGGGCTTGAAAAGATCCAAAAAATGGACCAAAAGCTTGAAAAGCCCTGGAAGTTTTTAAATTGGGCTGCTCACACATCCTTTTTCTCAATTCATGAAAGTCAAAATGCCAAATCCCAGAAATTTTTTTTTTTTTTTACAAGCTAAAATTGTCCTTTAAAAAAAAATATTTTTTAGTTGTCAATTTTTTTAGTTGTCAGTTATTGCAAATGGTGGTTTGTTTCCTTGATTAGAATGAGTTCATAGCCTCATGGTTACTCTTCTGTATTTTCTCAGCTAGGTGATGAGAAAGAAAAGGAGAAAGAATATGAAGGCACGTCTTCTAGCTTTTACCCTCACTCAACAAGAAAAGAGGAAAAGCAAAGATAAGATATTGGAGATAAGTAAATATCTCTTGTCAAAGATAAATTAATTCCCACTCATTGAATTTGTAGGAAAATAAATTATTTTACAGTAATAAAATGTTTTAGGAGCATCTCGAAAATTTTCTGTGTTTTTTAAATTTTGAACGCTTGAAGAAATTTTATTCACATGTAAATTTCAAAAGTAAAATGTCCATTTGATCTCTAGTCAGTGGTGGATGAGTTCCTGTTGAAAAAATAGATAAGTTTGAGAATAAAATTTGACTTAAAGGAAATGTATCTGGGAAAGATAGAAAAATAAAAGAATGTTATTTTTAAAGTTTGCAGGCTCATGACCTGTATCCCTAGCTTTTGTTGTAAGTGTGAAAAATGACGAAATATATTAAAATTTATTTGGCTTTTATTGCTTGGCTTTAAAAGTTCAATTTGGCAACCCTGTTCTTTACTTTTGTATTTCTGCCATAGATGGCTAGAAAATATATAAACATGTGAATGACTCCAAAATATTTGGCTAAATGTCATCAAATTTGTGAACTTAATTAAAAAAAACAGAAAAATGTTCCCAGACCATGTACTTCTCTGTGGTATTGTCAGATGTGAATAGCATTTCCAGTGAAATTGCAGATTTTTGTGTCTGTTTTGAAAGACATTGAATTGTTTCTGATAAAATATCAGTGCAATAAATCATTGCTTCCTTTCCTTGTAGATCAATGAAACTGTTAAGATTTGTAAAGGAAGAGCACAGTAAAAAGATAATTACATTTTCCAAACTGAATGAATTTGTAAATTTTGTCAAACCTAAACCTGCATAAAGATGCTGGAAAGGAGTACAGATTTCGAGCAGATAGGGCTATGCAAAATTTATCCCAAAAAATGTTTTGACAAAAGATCTGTCTTTGTTGCAATTCTGCATGGAATGTTCATCACCATCATTGAGAAATTTTTGGCAAAGTCTCCCTTTAGATAGCCTCTTGTAAAGTCACTTGCATGGCTGAACACTGGATGCATTTGTGAAAAAAAATTGCCACAGAAGACAATTTAAAAAGATGTCTTTCTCACATGCACAGAAAACAAGTCAGCAAGTCTGATTGTGATGACATCATCAGTCAGTACAAAGATTTTGGAGGAGGCTGCTGCTGGAAATATTGCTTTCAAGAATTTCAGCAAGCATGTTCTACTCTTCTTTGTTTAGTAACAAGGAATATTAAAAACTGGAAAGTTATTTGCAGATTGTTGGTACTCACTCATGGACATGTCTCAGTGGAGAAAGGTTTCTCAATCGATAAGGAAATTTCCACTCACAATATAAAACAGCAGACTCTGGTCATATAGTGCATTATCACAGACCATTTGGCCACAGTTGGAGGTGCTGAGAATGTTCCCATGACTAAGGCTCTTCTCTGAAGTGCTTCCAATGCCAGAACAGCATAACTTATACCTTGAGGCTGGAAAAAAGGCAGGAAGAAGTAGCTGGACACAAATGGAAATCCATGCTTATGGAAATTGAAGAACTGAAGACCCAAAAAAAACAACCTTGAAACTTGCACACACAATTTGCTCAAGTCAGCTGATGGGTATGCAGAGAAAGCTGAGTAAACTCAGTTCACATCACAAAGGATAAATTCCTAGAGATATCCAAATTGGAGTTGAATGCTAAACTGAATGCTAAACTAGATGAACTGAAAAAATGGTAACATCATTGTGTTCTGTGCCATGTGCAGTAAAAGTCATGAGTAATATTGCAAGCAAAAATGTTTTTCTGTGGAAATTTCTATTTGTAGTTCTGTTCATTAAAACCATTATACTTTAGCTTCACAGAAAATGTGCAGCAGTTAAGAATTTTTGGGACTTTCACAAACCATAAGGAATCGTTTCGATAGCTGAAACATGCAGCAGTAAGAATTAAAGTATCATTCAAAATTTTCAAATGCAGAACTTCAGTGTAGAATGCAACACAAAATGTGTAACATAACCAGGTTGTGTTTTAACCTTCAACACTTGGATTTCTTTACTGCTTTTAACTGATCCATGTGACATGAATTATTATGACCAGCTGTAGCTTTTCTTTAAACATCTCATCTGTCAAACTATTAAAAGATAAATCACAAAGTGATTTTGAAATTGATGACCATTCACTTTGTGTGTGTGTGTGTGTGCATGCACACCAGTTTCAATCCTTGAGACTTAACAATCCTTGAAAAGTCCAAATTTTTTTTCACACAGATCTGTGGAACCCTAACATTAAAAAACATCTCTCTCAGCTTACCACATTATTGATTAAAATCGGTTTCATCACCCGTTGCAATGGATATTTTTTGTGTGTGCAAAAGTAATGCAAAGCAGGCTTTGCAATGATGTTTTTTTCTTTTTGTTCAACTTGTATGGTTCCCATACATACATATATATATATACATACATATAATTAGCTTTTGTGATTTTCCAAGTTGGTGCAAATGTCAAATTTATTGAAAGTTGTTTCGTGTTAGATTTACTTTAATAATAGCCACCAGTTGGTTGTCATTAGCTGCAGAAGGATATCAACAACCTTCATTGACAGTTCCCTTTCCAAGATGCATGGTTGATATTGCAAGCACTTTGCACTTTTTTTTCACAGCCCTTTTGAACTCAGACATTAAAATCAATTGAAGTTTATTTTTTCATCTTTAATTTGGAAGCCTAAAAGCAAGAACTGTGAAAAGCAAACTATTAGCATAAGGTGAAAGAGCAAAAATTGTGTTTTCAAATGATTTATTGCAGCAGTTTAAAATATTAAAACCATAATTATTTTTGCATCAACCATGTGTGTCTGTGCACATATATAATTATACATTAGCAAAATTAAAATGTCAATCAGTCAGATGCTGAAGATCTGAATTACTTCAAATTTATTCTAGTGTTGTTTAATCTCTATATGCAAAAAAACAAATTTTTAGTCATTACTAAAATAATGTGGAAACTTGTTTACAATCTGTTCCTTAAATTGTTTTTTTTTTAATTAAATATTGATTCCATTAGTGAATTTGGCTCCTAGTGTTTGTATTGAAATCATTTAAGTCAAGAAAATGCAATTACAAAGAGTTAATCTTTTGACATGGAAATAATGTTTTTTGTTTTTTGTTTTTTTTTGGTGAAAAACTGCCAAAAATCATTAAACAGGATTTTGCTTATTAATTTTATTCTTGGTAAAAAAAGAAGTACAATTATATTTTCACTTCTTGAATTTGGTTTTCATTAGAGAATTTTTTTATGAAAGCATTGATACAGTGATTGAAAGATGTAATAATCATCAGTTGGTTTAAGGTCAGTTGAATTAGGTGAGGAGAATAGAACAGACCAGGTGAGTGGCCCAAAATGTTTCCTGTCTTCTTGCTGTATGTAATCATGTGTTGTCATTGAAGAAAACAACATTTATCTTTGAATCCATTATGTATGCTGCCATTGTCATGCAAAATATAAGTTATGTATTTTACATGTATTCTTAACTACCATTTATGATTAGGAGTTAGCAGGAGTCATTTGTCATTAAAGTTGATTACCAAAAACGCAGAGTACTGATGACTCAACCTAATTTATACATGTATATATAATCAGAAGGACAAGACCAAATGTGACAGAAATATTCAATGTATGGATGAATGGTAGATTTATAAATGTGTAAGATAGATTCTAGCAAGAAAAATTGTCAAGCACATAGTGAATCGACTTTGCCAGCAGCAGATGTAGCAATTGATTCAATTGTTCCACTTGATGTCAATGGAAAATGGGAGACTGAGAAGGTGCATTGAATTGCTCTCGTGGTGGTTAGCACCAGCCATTCTGATTGGAGAGAAAGAAAGATTAATAGAGAGTAGTTTAGTTTTGGAAGCATTTAAATTAACAAGCCATTGCTTAATTCAGTTAACAACGGACTGAAATTCATTTTCAAGATCAGCAACCAATTTGATTTTATCAAAACTATCAGTTACTATTAAGAAAGTAGTAAATAATTGTCATCAGCATAGATACTTAATGACATCGGGAAGGTCGTTGATGAAAACAATTCTAAGAATAGAGCCATGGGAGTCACCCATATTTCTATAGAAAGATCTAGGAGAGTGGCTGTTCAAGATAACTCTCCTTATGTTCATAAGAAAGATTGAATGAAATCAAAAACAGGATCATCCAAGAAACACCATAACCCTTCAGCTTATGAAAAAGAGCAGCATTTCCACACTTTGTCAAACACCTTTGAGATATCAAAAGCAACAATTCAAGCTTCACCCTTTAACTAAAACTTGACAGACTCTTTCAGCAATAGCTGTCAACACATTCACAGTTGACCTAGAAAAGCAAAAGCTATATTGTTTGTCTGTAAGAAAACCCAACAAGCTAATATGCTTAACTGATACAAAGTTGATTAGAACCTCAAATACTTTACCAAAGAAGAAGAAGATTAATAGCT